ATAATATCAGCTACAAAAATACTAAGTTAAGCTCGTTAATCTTTTTAATGAACAAATTATGGCACTACATGAAAATTACAATTGCACCTTCCTTGCTTTCACTGATTTACATAACTGGTTTAACAATCCAGCCATCCTAGTGCTTCTCACCAATGATAATCAAAGATAGATTATACATTTGAAGAAAATTCATTTTTCACTATTTGAGGATGGCTTGCCTGACTTTAATAGAAACTGCTCAGTGGCACCCCCCTTCAAGTGGTGCTCAGGGTATGTGCCATACTTGCCACACCTTAGGTATGCCATTGGTAACAGATTATATTTGTTGCTAACCTATAACTTTCAACTCTTAATCATACAAACTAAAAATTGAATTGATCAGTTATGTAGTAAATAAAGTACCATTTATTTGAGATGTACATAATTTATCAGTTTAATGCAACGTTTTGTTATATTTCAATTTATACAGTTTAGCAAAAATCATGCAAGTTTTTGTTTCAATAATAACATTTTAAGGGGCACAAATGCAAATCGTAGTTTTTCAGCTTTCCATATTTGTGAAATTATGCTTTGAACTTGCAGGTTTTTGTTTTTAGTTGGAAATTCCTTTGTAGTAAACTGTTAGCAAACTTTTTAGAAATAAAACAAATAGCTTAATAAAAACTTAATTTCTAAATATTTTGCACTTATTTGAATATGCAATATTGGAACTCGTATAATTTCTGGCTTTCTTCACATTTAAACTTAGGAAACACATACGTAAACCTATTAGAAAATATGTAGTGAATACTTATCATTATTTACAAACCTTTGGCACAGCTAGTTATTATGTAACCTTTATAAATTTTTTTATTTGGCCTCATTTTATGAAGTTATAAGGTAGTTCTTGTGCTTCAGTACAATATGTATGGTATGAATGCTTAACACGTTTGCTGCTATGTACCCCACCAGTGGGTTACAGATAATTATGTTTCAAAGCCAAATTTCTCTTGTGGCTTATGAGTTTGGAATACTGTGACTTGGCATCTTTTGAATGTTTAACTTTATTTATACCTAATTTATTCATACTACTGGTGGCAGCGAATGTGTTGACACATCATGCCATTTATTTTCATTACTGTAAATGTGATTTATACTATACTTGACACAGTTAGCTCTACTGTATATAACATTTGTAGAATCTTGTGAAATGACTTAAGACTAATATCAATGCTGTTGGTGTGATGTCCTTCAAAAATTCTGTGTTGCAGGTGGTGGTCCAAACTTTTGCTATGATACTAAACTTGTAATATTTCTCCTCATTTATATCCTTTTATCTTAGCATGGTCAAAGAATGTTATTGTTAGATATGAATTTTGTCTGTATTTTATAAATATGGATGGTTGAAGGAGCTTTTATATTAACAATTATTTAATTGTGTTGATTACTATTTTGAGCATTCTAAGAGTTTAAGTTGTTTAAACCAGCTTGGAGTTATTCAGTCCTTTCATTGGTTTTATTTGTCTTTGTGGTTCTAATTATATTAATAGTTTTAAGTTGAAAAAAAATGTATATTTGTACATAATTGAATGTATTTTTTTTTCCAGGGTTTTTGGATTTTTTGAAAAGCCTCTTTTCTTAGAATTGTGCAAGCACATTGAATCCCGATTCATTTCTTCAGGACAGCTTCTCTTTTCTATTGGTGATCAAGATGATAGTATCTATGTAGTACAAAGTGGGAGGTTATCAGTATTTATTACTGAACATGTAAGTCAGATTTTTTTAAATTTCTTTTCATCCTGTTTAAACACATCTGGTAGCACATTAGTTTTTTTTTCATCTTCAGATAAATTTAAACATTTAGTTTAATTTCTTATCTTCTACATGATTGTATAAACATGTTTTGTATATATAGCAGGCTCTGTAAATTAATCTGTAATGTATTGAAAGCCTTTAATGTATTTTAAATACAATTTTCACATATATTTATAACTACATTCTTTCCATTGAAGAATAGAACTTACAGGAAAGTAATCAAGTAACTTCACAGAATGAATTATTAACCCTCTTATAATATCTTTATATGTATTATACATTTTATTATTGCTGACAAAGAATATATTGAACACAAGTCTTTATTTAAAGGTTGTTTACAACAACACATCTTGCCATTATGAAAGTGTTGAGATATAATGAAAGTCACAAACTTTTAGCCTAAATTAATTTTTGCTAGTTAATTAACAGTCAATTTTCAAAGGTTTTACATTTATGATTAAGTTTTATTTTTATCTGCAGGATGGTACTGAGTTGTTACTTAAAGATGTGACTTCAGGAGAAAGTATTGCTAGTCTGCTAAGTATAATGGATGTTCTGAGTGTAAGTTCAGTTTTAGTTATGTTTTGTCATTTAGTTTATCACAAATAACTATCAGTAGGATGTAGAAATTAAAATGTGTCTTATGTTGTAAAATACAAGGTACACTATGATTATCATGCCTCATTTTTTATGTTTTTTAGCCTATCACTGTGATGTTGTTATTATAAAAGATATTGTAATTTAAATACTGGTCAATTCAAAGACACTCTATGGACTTGGTCAACTTGACCAGACTTGTAACCACCATACAAAATATGAAATAAATCTAAATTCTAGAATGACTGCAGATTGTAACAGGAACCTGAATTTGTTTATTCTAAATGGCTTAAGGTTCGTTACAGTATATATATGTTTATACTTATTCTTATTGTTTTATTTTTGAACTATGTCTAACTAATAATTCTACTAAACAAGTTGTAAATCACTCGGCAAAAGCATAGTTCTTTTTACCTTATTGAATGACATGATGCACCAGCATGCCTCATAAAGAATTATTTTTCATTATCTTATCTAAACTAACCTAATAAGTTTCTAATTTTTTACATTTTAGTTACTTTTATAGTAATGAATATAGAATATACAAGAAAAACAAGAAATATATAGTACATACCTCCTTTGCGTTCCTGTTTTTTCACTGTTGGTTGCTGATGAAATTTTTTTTTTTATTTAAAGTTTTCAATCTGAATACCACAAAAAGTACTTTAAAAATATTTCCATAAAAAAATAAGAAGTTCAAATTTTTAATGTAACTTTAACCCTCTTGCTAAGGTCAGAGTGCATATGTTCCAACCTTCTAGTTAGTATTAAAGTTTAACATATTAATTTATAAAGCCACCATAATCAAACTAGTCAACTTAAAGTTATTAACCCTTTTGTTTTGGGTTTATGTAATTTGCAGAAAACATGTTGCAAATTTCACTTGTGCAACAGTACATGCAGTAACTCTGAGATTTCTTAATGTATCCTCTCAAAAACTGGTAAGATTTTGTTAAAGATCATAAATATCTTGTACACAAAGAATGACATTAATTTAATTAGGTGTTTTTACTAAAAATATGTTATTTATCTATTGGAGTTACTTGCACTCAAACTATTAAATTGAGTTCAAGGTGATTTTTATTTTAAGTATAAAAATACTATTCTTCACCTTATAGTTTTCATATTTCATTTACATAATCTCTAGAACCTCCTAAAATAACATCAAAGTTTTTAAGGTAAATGTTTATATTTTATTTATCGTTTTCTCTACCATATCACTAACTCTGGCTATTATCATCACCATACAATTCAGTGAACTAATTAGAATTAGGAAATAGAAAAAAAGGCATACCTTTTAATTTTTTGTAGAATATCTTTAAAGATTTTCTTTTAGAATATTTATATATAGAATTAAAAACGTAAACTTTATATTAAAATATGATTTATTAACTATGTTTTGATACCAAGTTGATTTGTATACAATGATAATATAGTAGTTTAATTAAATTTTGAATGTAACCGTCTAAAATGTCATGACATGCACACTTTTACTTGCCCGTAGTGTGAGGGTTAATTCTTTGTGCATGCATGGGAGTCAAAGTATGCATTGTAGAACCTTTTAAATTCAAAATTTATTCAATTTAATTATCAAAATATGTCAATAAATATAGCATCAAACTAAAGTTTAATTCAAATTGTAATTTCATATGAAATTTAATTTCTTAATTTCAAAGGAAATATTGAAATAAATTCTCAATCTTCACTTCCCTGTATCATATGTCATTTCTTTGCTCCAAGTTACCTACTTTAGATATTTTTACCATCCATACTTGAGCTTCTGAATTTTAACACAAATTACACACTTATATTATAGATATTGCTAAGACATAATCTAAATCTATAGCCTCCAGCCTTCTTGTGCTTTACTGAGAGACAAACCAGAAAGTCAATTCCACATGCCATGTCTCCTATCACAACCTGTCTATCAAAAAATATCAGTAGTTCACATTGACATTTGCAACTGGATTATTTATAACCAACAGAAAGAGAAGACTTTAATTTACTGAATTCCTTATAAGATTTGCTCGTTTTAACAAGTCTTCCCTATTGCTAAGTCACCTTGACCAACCAAAAGAATTATTATAAGCCACTTATAGCTTACTTAGATAGCAAGTTAAATTATAATAATTATAGGACGTAGTATTCTTTGTTTATGTTTTATAAGTTGAATATTTGTAATAAATGAAAATAGTTACAACAACCCTGTCAAAAAATTAGTGTTTAACCTTATTGAGACTTCGAAACTTTGACTGTAAAAAAGTACAAGACTAACACATAAATACAAAAGTTCTTGATTTTTGAATTTATATACTTTTCTTTATTGTGATAAATGTAACTAAAATGTAAAAATTAGAAACTTATTAGGTTAGATAAGAAAACTGAAATAAAAAATTTAAATACAAAAATATCTACACTAGGTATTCATGTGAGCAGCTCATGCATTACGTAATTTGATACTCTATTTACCATGACTTGAGCTATGCTTTCGGTGCTGTCACTTCCACTATTGTGACCACTTGTGGCAACACAATGAGTAGGTGTTATATTTATTTTTAGTACATAAATATTTATTTTGTGACTACCAGGGCTCCTACTATTTAATACTGGGAAAACCTGATCATCCATTTCATTGCAAAATTAATTTCCAGTCAGATTTCAGTGGATAGTGGAATATTTGTTTGGATCAAATATATGTCCCATCTGTAATGTAAAGGATACAAATAAATTACAGAAATTGTATTTGAACTAATGAACTACCCTTTTTGGATTAATGGTATTGTTGGGAACTTACTTTTTAGTAGTATATATAGTAATGTAAATATGTGTGTGTTGGGCTAAGGATTCTTTTACAGTAGATGCCTGTGACTTGGCAATAAATACTACAATAAATGAACAGCATGCGCTCCACTTGTTTTTAAAATAATATATGTATTTGAAACAAGTTAAACGTATGTACAGAATCCTTTACACTATGGAGATCATAGTTGTATCTTAATCACTATACAGTTCTCTTCTTCTTGTCAAAAGTACAATTCAGTTCACAAGCCGAATTATTTTTCTATATTTTTATCGTAGTAGTATCAGTGTATAATTCACTTATGTTGTCACTTGAGTTACCGCACTTGTATCCTGAACTTCCAGTAATCGTCTGCCTTTTGTTAAAGTCCACACAGGTAGGTTAAATTAGTTTAGAACACCCTTTGATGAGACAAATTATTCTCCTTATCTCTCTCAAAACTGTTGATCTCACTCTAACATATCAACCATTAGGCCATTCACTCCCACGATGGTTAACTTTACGTTTTTAACTTTTCTCTGACTGAACTTCTCTTTCACCTGAATTTAGTGTTACTCTGTTTCTGCTCATCTGATCACAGCTATTTATACATCTATCACTTAGGCCTTCTAGAAATCTCCATAGCTTCAACATCAGTAAATTGCACACAATGTTTGATAGCCTCTACATCAATGAATTACAAACACAAAATAAATAAATTAATAATACTACCTACACTAAACAGTCTTTTATACCTGACAGGTATATTTCAGCCACAGTGATCATGATTAGTTGATTTAGTTAACAATTAGTTATTTTTCTTTAAAGTATGATGGTATAAGTTGAACACTTTAAAAAATTGATGAAATAATTTCAATGATTTTATAAATGTTCACAACATGATTATATCTAGGTTATTTATAATGACTTAATCAATTATATTGTTATGTACAAGATAGCCAGTTGATGTGATGTGGAACCAAATTGTATTGTGATCTTAGTTAAACTGGTTGCATTGAATATTATAAATTGTACCTGGATTTTATGAACTTGTCAGTGTTAAAGTGGGTTAAATCAGTTGTGTCGTTTTCTAATAAAGTATTTGAAATGTATTTAGTAAATTGAAATATCATAGTTCACACTAAAGTTCAAAATTGTTATATGAATGGGATGTTGTGAAAAAAAAACATTATTTATATATTAGGTTGTCATCCTAAAGATGTACTGGTATAAACTGAATGTGTTTAACTGTAATGCAGTTCAGAATTTATTTTAGTTTTCCAGTTCTTGAAAAAAAAATCAATAGAATTGTTTTGCATCTACTATTAACTTTAAATAGTATTCTAAGCAAACATACTTTTGGGCCAGGCATGGCCTGGTGATAGCATGCCAGACTTTGAACCTGAGGATTCATGGTCCAGCTCCCATTACCAAAAAAAAATGTGATGCTCCACACTTTGGGGATGTGACTGCATTATAAGAGTGATAGTCAAAGTCCTTCATGAGGTTATAATAATCCATGAGTAGTTTGTGGGTGCTCTTGACTAGCTGCTTTCCCTCTCGTCTGTCAGTTTAAAATTAAGAGTAGCTAATGCAGATAGCCCTTTTGTAGCTTTGTGCAACTATCTGAAATAAATTTGCTTTGAATAAAATGTACCTAGAAAATAAATATGTAGATTTGAAAAAAAAGGAAAAAAATTAACTTTGTAAAATATTGCTTTTTGGATGGAAAAACTTGCAGTTGTATACTTTTTTAGATTTCAGACTATCAGTAAACAATCTGATGATTTGTTTAATCCTGGGCTAACAATATTTTTGACAAGTTAGTACTTTTGTCATACCTATTATGGAGATTAGGATTTCCACATGTGTACAATAGCATAAGTTGAACTGCACCTCATTTTAACAATGAAATTCATGTTTGTTGTACCTTTAGGGCCATCAAGCTGATTTTAAAACTGTTTCAGCAAGAGCTGTTGAAGACACATCTGTACTAAGGTACGTAGTTTTCCTTATATTCAAATGAAGTTTTGCTGTTGGTAAAGAACAGCATGATGTTGAATACCACACAACGAATAGGCAAATTCAATTTTTTCCAAGTAAATTCAAATAAAATCGTTTTATTTATTTTTCATTTACAGGAACAGTGACAGGTAACTCTCTCAACATAGGCTTGGTCAGTTTGACCAAACACGTGACCTCTTTGTACTTGACTAAAGTCTTTATAGATTTAATACTTCTAACTTTCAATATAGTGTGTATATCTTCACAAAATTTGGCAGTCTTTCACATCATATTACAAGTCTTTCACATACAAAAAGTCATATTTCTTAGTGAAGTATTTTTAATAAAATAAAATAAAGATTTGTCCATGAATATATTGAGTACTTGTTTTGAATAGTCTGTGAAGAAAGTAGTTTTTATGTTAAAATTAAATATACTTTTCGTCATCTCAAAAATCTCAAATTTCCTTTGTGTAATCCCTAAAACCCCTTAATGCATTTCAATCGTTTTTTTCACTAAAACTTTATAGTTTATCTGTTATTTTCTCTACTCTATCTCAAAATGTAATCGGTCAAGTTGACCGACTTCGTAATCACCAAAAAAAATCAAAATAAACCTAAATTAACTTTTTCCTTTCTAGAATGACTTCATATTGTAACATGAAACTACATTCGTTTATCCTAAGCAGCTTTAAGTTTGTAACATTATACATCTATTCATAATTAAATGTTATTGTTTTATTGTCTTTTGAATCGTGTCTAACTACTATCCGTGCTATTATAAGTTGTAAATTACTCGGGGAACATG